CAACATGCGTCTGTTATCCACATTTTATGTAGGCCTATAATTTGCGGTCTTTGTAAATCAAGTTCTATGACATCTCTCTCTCTTTATCGGAGTGCATGCTGGGAGTTTGTGAGTGTGAGCGCGAGTGGTGACTCGTGCTTGTGTTTTCTTTTTTCTATCTTTTTCTTTTCGTGTATGGTTTAGAGAGTTTTTTTATTATTTTTGTAGGGGGTGTTTTTTTGGTGTGTGAGGAACATGGCGGTCCCAGATGCACAGGGGTTGAGTTCACTCACGCGTCGTCACGGCGGGGTAAAAGTGGCGTCTTCCGAGAGTGTGGACAGCTGTTGTTTGGCTGTGCGGTATGAAAACATAATGGCTGCCTCGAGAATGAATAGCGCTATTGTTATTAAGCAAATGAGGTAGTTCAGAGGAGAATAGAGTGCCGAAGTTACGACGTCACTCTGTAGGCCAAATCGCGGAAGTGAGTTAGCATTTTAGCATTACGGTTCCCTCGCTCTAAAGCCTATGGGATTTTTGAATGGGTTTTTGCTAAATCGCCTGAAATAAGGTCTCTGGTGAACAGAGCCTCTAAATATTTTCACGTTTTGATCTATGACACAGAACACACAGTTATGACCTGCTTGTGGTTTTTTAAACTTTATTGTGTCTGATTGTGTTTTTTAAAATCTTTATAGCTATAGGCTTCAAAATGTAAAAGTTTTGGGTTAACTTGTAAAGATTATCTTGCTAGACAAAACGAAATTACTGTCCTCCAGTCTTTGAAATGAAACGTACATAGATGTAATTGTATATATAGTTATATTTATTTAATATAATTTTAAAAAGAAGCATAAACACAACGAGGGGTGTCTGTTTTATCTGTTTTTGTGATTAATTTTTCTTTAGTATAACCATGGAGTATAAAATTCAATATAAATTCTCGGTTTTGCATTGGACTTACGATCGGCGGAAGTTATCGAGCATCCCTAATGCTTCACCGGAAATACCGCCGTGCATAGAGCCCATTTTACAAAATAGCCGCAGAGACCGGAAGTAGGGTAAACTTTTTTAGATGTTTACCTGAACTCTTGTGTTTGTCACCGTAGTGAACGAGTCTCTTTTTCTTTTTCTCTCAGAACCAACAACTGATCCATGCTATGATTATATCACTCTTGATGAATCCTGGAGAGACATACGGCAAAGCTCAAATCAGAACTATGGATTTGATGACACTCTTGTTGAATGGAGCGGCTGGTATCGGCTGTATCTGAATGGAGAAAGTGCCCAGATGTCTGAGTGGTGTGTGAGTAATGTGGGATGTGGAGGTCAAACTGCACTGTCTCTCAACGGTTCTCATCCAACACTTGAGGATGGAGTGGTGACCCGTGAAGTCTTGGGGAGTAATGCATGGTATTGGTGGTATTCCAATCAGTGTGGCGCCTACAATTCCTCATCCATCCGAGTCAAAGCCTGTCCAGGAGATTATTACGTCTATGAGTTTGTCAAACCCGTCATATCATCCCCCCAGCCTATGTACTGTGCAGGTACAATATTTAATCTTATCTTTTGGTTTCATGCAAGTATAAAGTGTAAATGCTCCAACGATTAAATAATTTAGCTTTAGCATACATCTTTTGTTTCATGAAATAAGTATGTTTTAACTAGTAAGAATCAGTGGTGTGCTGTTCATTATCTATATAGGCTAGCAGGTTATGTAACAGATCAATAACATCTAGATCTCTTTGTTACACAATTCCTCAAATCACACTTTAGGCGAGTTGGTCAATAGTTAATATTTAAACTAAAAATGTATATGAAAACATTGTGATATTACTCCACAGTCCTCTTGTCATATGTAGCTCCTCCTCAGGTGTTGCTCTGTCCCGTTCTACAGGGTTCTGTCAGACAGACTTGCCTCACTTTAGCCTGACAGACAGTACACCACTGGTTACAATATAATTGCTCAAAATGTAATTAACCATCATAACTGGTCTTATGGTGTAAAACTCTTATGCTCTTTTGGATGTAATACATTTTAACAGTACTTTTGCAAACTCCATGACAGTTGCTTTCCAAAACATCAGCAGTGATCCCTGCTACAACTATGAGTCTCTGGATCGTCCCTGGAGAGCCAACAATGAAATCGGAGATACCGTTTGTGATGAAGGTTTCTCCTGGAATGGCTGGTACCGGCTTTTCTACTATGGAATGGACATCCGGATGTATGAGACCTGTATTAGTTCATACAGCTGTAACACATACTTTAATCTGAGGCTCAATGATCCTCACCCTCAGATAGAGGATGGAGTGGTGATCAGGGAGATCTGTGGAGGGTCTTATTGGGGAAGCTGCTGTGAATACAAGACAACCCCCATCAGAGTGAAAGCGTGTCCAGGCAATTACTATGTCTATGAACTTGTGAATCCACAAATATGGTGTTCAGGATACTGCACAGGTACTGTGATTTTCTCATTTATTTCAGTATTTTAAACCTTTTAAAATGATTTCTGTCATGTCATGAATTTCCTTCTTTTTAGATGTCAGCACTATTTCACAGGCGGTTTCCACTGTGAGTCCAGATATATTCACTGGATCCACCATCACCTTGAGTAAGTTGTAATAATATAGATGAACAAATATATGAGTGTTATTAAAAATGATCAGTTTTTTTTAGTTTAAATGGTAATTTTTATGCACAAACATTTCCACTATTTCACAATCGCATTGTGTTTGTTTGTTTTGGTCTCATCATCTCTCACTCTAACAGATTATGACCCGTGTAATAACTACAACACACTCGACAACTACTGGAGAAGCACACTCAATTACTGGTTTATGTATGGACTCATAATTGATCATGATGACACTCGTGTAGAATGGGACGGCTGGTATCGACTCTTCATTAATGGATCAAGTGCTCAGATGCCTGAGTGGTGTATGTCTTACCTGTCATGTGGAGGTTTTAGTTCTCTGTATCTTGGTGACTCTCATCCACGGCTAGAAGATGGAGTTGTTACTCGTGAAGTTTATGGTACTCACTATGATCAGTGCAGTCGCTACAGATCCGACCCAATCCAAGTCAAAGCTTGTCCTGGAAATTATTATGTCTACAAATTTACCAGACCACCTCTTTCAATCCCAGCTCCTGTATATTGTGCAGGTATATTCATTCATCTTTATATCTGACATGCTTGTCATGAATTGTATTGATTTATATTCATATTATTAATTTGAATATATTTAATCGGAAATATATAATGCTCTCTTTCTCCTTTTTCCCTAATAGTGCCTTTCTCCACCCCAAGTGTCGACCCCTGCTACAACTATACCAGTCTGGATGAGCCTTGGAGATCCACAGACAACTATTACTATAATAACTATTACAACTACGGCATGTGTGATTTTAATGTGGAGTGGAATGGCTGGTACAGGATGTTCAACAATGGTGAAAATACTCAGATGCCAGAATCATGTGTAAATCCGTACATGTGTGGCACTTATGATCCACTGACGCTCAACGGCGCTCACCCACAGCTGGAGGATGGAGTGGTCACCCGTCAGGTCTGTGTCTCCTCATGGGATGACTGCTGTACTTACACATCCCACCCTATAAGAGTCAAAGCCTGTCCAGGAAATTACTACGTTTATGAGTTTGTCAAGCCAATATTTTGTGGAGCTTACTGTGTTGGTGAGCACTTACTCATATGATTTTCAGCCATTTACTTACATGGATTTTAAAACGAAATGATTGTTGTTAATATAAAATGTTCCTAATACCAGATGCCTCCAACCAGTCCATCTCATCAACAACAGAGACGATCCCATCCATAGGATCCATTACTCCACCAATCACAACCACTGGTAAAGTATTGTCTTACTTCCTTCATAAACTCTCTTGAGCATCTTTGGTAACACTTTATTTTTCGACACGCAAACAACTGCATAAGTAAACCAAAATTACAGTGTGCGTTTACGTAATTATAGTGTACTTCCGTGTAGGTATAAGGGAACAGTATATTAAATTTTGGGTAATAATAGGTTAGCAAGCAAATAATTTATAATGTAATTATTTTAAAACGTCTCGGTTACATATGGTAACCCTCGTTCCCTGAGGGAGGAAACGGAGACGTAGGTCATGACAATTTATTTCGAGTGAACCTAAAAAAAGCCAATGCACATTGGCGTGCAATCATTTGCATCATCTGTGCTGCCTCATTAGCTCATTAGCGCAGGTATATAACAAGCAGCTGCTGCAACTGCACTTCAGTTTCTTGCTAAGGAGCCAAGCCTGAGAAAGCTAGCCCCCCGGCGGGCGGCAGCAGATGTGGCGACGGGACCTACAGTCCCCTCCAAAAATATTGGAACGTTAATGCAAATTTCTTTTGTTTTTGTTGTGCACTGAAGATATTTGGGTTTAAGATCAAAAGATGAGTATGAGACAATAGTTCAGAATTTCAGCTTTTATTTCCTGGTATTCACATCTAGATGTGTTAAACAACATACCACCCTTTGTTTAACCATTTTTCAAGTGAGCAAAAGTATTGGAACAAATAATCTTAAAGTAAATAAAATTGAACAGTTGGTGGCATAAACCTTGCTTGCAATAACTGCCCCAAGCCTGCGACTAGGGTTGCCCTTACCCTTGACTAAGTAATTTTAACTCAATCCGATCGCGGCTCTCCCGGTATTAGTGTTATTCCACAAGATTTATGGATAAGCTGTTTGATTTATAATTATTATACCCTGCTGTGCACGAGCATAGCTGTTCCTCAATTTGTGTTTCCCATTTGAATGGTCAGCATATGAGGCGCTGCTGCTTGCGCTGGGACTATAACTTTAGGCTTTAGCTTCGATTTTTAAGAAATTATTCTCTAATCGGTTGCATATTATGTCGTGAATATATCCATCGAATGGAATCCTGCAGTCCCTTTTGTCTTGCTCTCTCAGATATTTCACTTGTTTGCCGAAAATTACAAATTATCTCATTGGGAATGTCTGACACTGGTGCATTCATAGATATGTACTGTATATAAAGGCTATATATGTCGTCCACGCTGCTGGCCAATGGAGGTCGACGTCTGCACCTGGCGGCCATCTTGTCACAGGCAGCTCGTTCACTCGTAACATTGTGTTAATGGTACATGTACTGTTTAAATGACCATAACTTGCTCAATTTCTACCGATTTGTTTTGTTATAAACGTCAGAGATGTAGTTATGACACTGCATACTTATGAATAAAAAGTGTATAAATAAATAATCATCCAGATAATTATAGCCACGTTAATAACGTTTGTAAGAAACCAAACCGTTTGTAAATCCGTCAAGATTTCAACGAGATAAGAGTATTTGTGTTCGTGCTGACCACTCATCTTACATCAGCTTGTCTGTGACAAGATGGCCGCCGGTGATGACGATGGAAACTCCGCCGTAACACATCTAGCCTTTATATACATATACATATCTATAATAGATGTGCTAGCCGTGAAAGCTTGACAGGTGTAGCAACAGTGGAAGGGCGGGGCTTAGCGAAGGGTCAATTCTGTAAAATATATATTTTTAATATTTCCTTGACAACAGCTCCCCCTGTTGACCCCTGCTACAACTACAATATCCTGGATGATTCATGGAGAGCCACCAACAATCAACATTCCTCTCAGATAATGTGTGACACTGCGGTCAGCTGGAACGGCTGGTACCGTCTCTTCATTCAGGGTCAGAGCGTTCAGATGCCGGACACATGTGTTGATGAGTATAGTTGTGGCACTCATGCTCCTCTGTGGCTGAACGGCGGACATCCAACAGTTGAGGATGGAGTGGTCACTCAAGATGTCTGCGGTCACTGGAGCAATAACTGCTGCTATTTCCAGTCCAATCCCATTAAAGTCAAAGCCTGTCCAGGAGATTATTATGTCTATGAGTTTGTGAGGCCAACTGCCTGCAGTTTGGCATACTGTGCAGGTAAATAAATTTACATGTGCCCTTCGTTTATGAAAGAGATAATAATTGTTTATTTGAATCTAATATTTATAATTCGTTTCAGATTCAAGCACCATAAACACTACTACCACTGTCATGCCAGAGACAACCACAACCGAAACAACAACAACTGAAACTACAACTATGGACAATACAACGGGTAATATAATATATTAAGTGACAATCTGGAGGATTATTGTTTGACATGAGCAAATCAGATCCATTATAATATCCGTTATAAGTTTGTGATGCATGTAAATAATTTAAAATAATCGACTAGGCCATTTAGGCAATTATATTATCAGTCATTAAATTGAGGCCACAGGAAATTAAAGCTGAGCAAATATAGCTCCTGTATTATGAGATATATTTGCACAGCTTTGATTTCCGGTGGCCTCAATTTAATATGACTGATAATAAAATTGCCTATATGGCCTAACAAATTCTTCTAAATTATTTTCATCATGCAGAGATTGCAAATGTTATGATGGGATAGTGATCCAGGAAAGTTTTCTTAATGTAAATAGAACGTTCTCTTAAAGGGATACTCCACTGGCTTTTCATAGTAAACTATGTTATTCCCTTAAATAAGACGAGTTGATGCATACCTCTCTCGTCTCAGTGCGTGCACGGCGCGCGAGTCGCTTTGATCGCACTTAACTAGCCCAGTTCATTCAATACGGGCCAAGAAGAGAAGCGATCAAACACCTCCACGTTTTCACAATTTAAAGTCAGCCTCATCCAGGAAGAGGTTCTCATGAGGTCTGGCCATCTCGCCCAACTGTAATGAAAATGTGAAAGTGCACACGTGTTCAGAACAACAGTCACATCAGTAGCACAGTATTGTCCAGAAGTAATGTAGGCTACTGAGCAACACAGTATGTCCACTAACTGTACTGTGAACATGGATGCATACTTACTTGCACATACTCATAACGTAGGTCTTTAGGTCGCGCAGAGTTCCACTCAAAGGGAACCCTATAGACCTGTTTCATCCGCATCTTTTGGTGCCAGAGAACTCTTGTCTGTTGTGGCCAAGCTGACATCAATGCTCTCAAAGTTGACATTATCAGCAATGACTTTATCTCTGATTGCCTGGAGACTGATGAGGTTGTTCTCACAAACCATATCCATAACAAGGGTTTCTTGTGATGCTGTAAATATGGCAACCCTGCCTCCTCTATGTGGCATTTTTTCAACTCTAAAGAAAGAAACGTGTTGTAAATTTAAATGTTTTACAATACGGGAACAACTGATTTTAAACCAGTAGACTACTTTCACAGGCTTGTAAAATTGTATTGTGACAAAGAAAGCAATAGAGTACAAAACCTGTTGTGTTGTCTGAATGCCCTAATAATGGTGGCCACGGTGAAACTACTCAGGTTTGGACGGACTCTTAGTCCTACTTTAGCCATTGTCATGCCATGGACAATGACATGGTCAATGACTGTTGCTCGCATCTCCTCCGTAATGATGGTGAGAGTTTGTCTTGTTCTCCCTCCTGGACCTTCTCCTCTCCATTGTTGGCCTCCTCCTCTCCCTTGTTGGCCTCCTCCTCTCCCTTGTTGGCCTCCTCCTCTCCCTTGTTGGCCTCCTCCTCTCCCTTGTTGGCCTTCTCCTCTCCCTTGTTGGCCTTCTCCTCTCCCTTGTTGGCCTCCTCCTCTCCCTTGTGGGACTTCTCCTCTCCCTTGTGGGCCTTCTCCTCTCCCTTGTTGGCCTTCTCCTCTCCCTTGTTGGCCTTCTCCTCTCCCTTGTTGGCCTCCTCCTCTCCCTTGTTGGCCTTCTCCTCTCCTTTTTTGGCCTCCTCCTCTCCCTTGTTGACCTCCTCCTCTCCCTTGTTGGCCTCCTCCTCTCCCTTGTTGGCCTTCTCCTCTCCCTTGTTGGCCTTCTCCTCTCCCTTGTTGGCCTCCTTCTCTCCCTTGTTGGCCTTCTCCTCTCCTTTTTTGGCCTCCTCCTCTTCCTTGTTGGCCTTCTCCTCTCCCTTGTTGACCTCCTCCTCTCCCATGTTGGCCTCCGCCTCTCCCTTGTTGCCCTCCTCCTCTCCCTCCTGGACCTTCTCCTCTCCATTGTTGGCCTCCTCCTCTCCCTTGTTGGCCTCCGCCTCTCCCTTGTTGCCCTCCTCCTCTCCCTCCTGGACCTTCTCCTCTCCATTGTTGGCCTCCTCCTCTACCTTGTTGACCTCCTCCTCTCCCTTGTTGGCCTACTCCTCTCCCTTGTTGGCCTGCTCCTCTCCCATGTTGGCCTTCTCTTCCTTGTTGGCCTCCTCCTCTCCCTTGTTGGCCTTCTCCTCTCCCTTGTTGGCCTTCTCCTCTCCCTTGTTGGCCTTCTCCTCTCCCTTGTTGCCCTCCTCCTCTCCCTCCTGGACCTTCTCCTCTCCATTGTTGGCCTCCTCCTCTCCCTCCTGGACCTTCTCATCTCCCTCCTGGACCTTCTCCTCTCCCTTGTTGCCCTCCTCCTCTCCCTCCTGGACCTTCTCCTCTCCCTTGTTGGCCTCCTCCTCTCCCTCTCGGACCTTCTCATCTCCTTCCTGGACCTTCTCATCTCCCTTGTTGGCCTCCTCCTCTTCCTTGTTGGCCTCCTCCTCTCCTTTTTGGCCTCCTCCTCTCCCTTGTTGGCCTCCTCCTCTCCCTTGTTAGCCTTCTCCTCTCCCTTTTTGGCCTCCTCCTCTCCCTTGTTGGCCTTCTCCTCTCCCTTTTTGGCCTCCTCCTCTC